GGGAAGATTGTAGTGTTTGGAATATATGGGGTTAAAATTTTGTTCAAGAATTTTGCAACAGGGTAGGTGACAGTTGTAATTTGGCTAATAATTGGTCGGATGGGATGATTCTTTTTATGCGTTTTTATATTTCCATATAAGTAGCCAGGAGAGTATTCGCCTATAAGCGATGGAAGTTTGTCATCGGTGATGTGCTTTCTTATCTTCTTAATTATTGTGTTTAGTTTAGTTTTTAGTTGAGGAGTGGGATCTTTTTTGATTACTTGCTACTTTTTTCTATCATTGAGAACATCATTGAGTTTTTCATGGTAATCGGCTCGGTCGATAATGACATATTGCGCATCCTTCGCCGAAGCAACTTAGGGAGAATAAAGATATCGTAATAAGACGCGCAGATAAATCTGCACAATATGTCATTATCGACCGAGCCAAAGTAATATACCAGAACAGCAACTATACGCATGTTAAAATTCCAGAAGCAGTCCTAATTGACATCAATAAACCAAAAATAAATATACAACAAAAAATGACAACCTCACTTCCAACCCGCGCTTAACCAACAACGAAAACAAAGAAGTAATAAAAACTAGCATCGTAAATAGTGACAAAGAAGAATATGATGCTATCGATGAAGAAAAGGAGACCAAAGAAGATGACCAGCCAATAAAGAAACCTGACACTTAATTCGCATCAAAGTTCAATTTTACAACACCAAAGTTAATTTTTACAACGTCAAAGTTCATCTTCCCTATATATATATATATATATTTCCCTATATATACAGCAAGGAGCACTGATGATGATTCATTCGGAATCGAAATATGGCCTTATTTGCAGCATGAATTCGAAAAATAAGTTTATTTTGAATTTTAATAAACTAAACGTTCACCAAAAAGCTTTAGTGAGAAAAATCGAAAAAACGAACTACAAACATATCAACGCCAAACATTCGGTAGAATTTATAGAATATTGTAAAAATTATGGTCTATTACCAACATATACATACATATATATATATATATATATATATATATATATATATATATATATTCCGGAGTTGGTGTCAAAATTTTTGGAGGAGTCGGAATCGGATATTTTTCATTTGACTCCGTCACTGATTTTCATAGGTGAAAAGAGAAACCAATATATTTGAATACAACAAGTTATATTTTTTAATATATTTTATTTTTGACAAACAAAGGTTAATTTTTTTTTCCAAAATTCGTTCGAACAAGACAAAAAATGATCGTTCTTTACATTTCATTTATTCCTTTCGAGTTTTCAAGTACGCGGGAAGGCAATCGTATCTTCGAATTTTAGATATCGGTTTCTTAAAAATTGCGCTATGACCCATTTGTTAATTAATATATATGGTTTAACTGAAACTTATCGAAAAATATTGTCTTGTTATTTCTTTAACTATGCGCTGCAAAATTTTATATTATCTCTTTTTTTTAAATCAGCTTGTGTTTAATTCTTGAGTTATTAAGTATTTATTTTAGAAAACGTATATTGGAAAAAGTTTTTATATTGGTGGAATCGGTTTTAAAATAACGAGCGAGACGCAGATGTCTTGTTTCAAGCTCGTTTGGAAATTCACATAGACGAATTTCAAAATGTTTTAAAACGATTTGAATTATAATAATTTGATTTGTGTTCCTTTGCAACTTTTACTTTATTTGCGGGTTTGGTTTTAATAATTTTTTTGTTTCTTTTTAGTTTATTTTTTATTTATTTGTTACTTAAATAGTAGGATCAAATCATTTTTATAAGCCCATGATTAGGCTATAATCATAGGGTTAAAATTTTCTCATTATAATTCAAATATGTCATTTATTTTTAGATAGATTTTCAGTTGTTTAATTTATTGCAAAAAAAATTTTGCAATTTTAAAGACAATTTTAAAAATTGTCTTGACTCTACTTTTTATGATTTTAAATTTTGCGATTCACTTCCAAAGATAGCTTTAGACGTTGACGATATTAACTTATTTAATATATCTCTTAAACAATTTTTTATATTTATTTGTTCAATTCAGAAAAACGTTTGCAGTTCGTTAATTAGACACCTTTGATATAACTTTTTAATGGTTGATTGAGGCAAATTTTAGTATTTGGTTTATTTATCTAATCTAATGTGATTTTTATTAGTTTGAATCATTCCTGTTAGCCATGATGAGAGTATATTTTTATTTCTTTTTGTACAAAATGCAAAAACAGGCGCCCAATCTTTATTTGTAACCAGATGGTTTGTATGTTTTTGTTGAAACAAAACACATTTATCGAATTGTTAATATGTAACAGTTCGCAATTTTAGTGATGAGAATACTATTTGTATACTCAAATATGATATCAATTAATTTTTTCTATGTTGTTATTTATGATTTGCAGAGATAGTGTTTTTAATAAAATCTTCTAAGTAATTCTGTAAAGTTACGTTAAACTTCATTGTTCAGTGGCCTGTGCTATATTAAAACCGTCTGGGAAAAAAGTATTGCGAACCACAAATTAAAAATTTGATGAAAATTAGAAATGACGTTGAATATAAATAATTGCTTGAAAATCTTGCTCAACGAAAAACGTCAAGCGTCGAGACCCAGAAACGTTCATAGTTTTCTGATCAAAAACTTGTTTGCTTTTTTTAACGGCATTGCAGCTCCCCAAATTGTGCCATGTTGGGTCTTGTTGAAATCAAAATCAGACCAACACTATCCAAGCCGACGGAGTCCAATAGCTGGTAGCACCGAGGCAGACATATCAACCGACGCCCCACCCCACGCAAACACCCGAAATACGAACAATCAAAATAAATAACCATTGTCAAAGCTTAGAAAATAGATTCAAAAAACTTAAAAGGTCGTTATAGGAAGTGGAAGACAAAAAATGTATTTTATATTATAAAAATGGTTTTTCATGAAATCATTTTTATTTTTTTAAGATGGAGCGCATTTTAAAAAGGACACTGCTCAGTGTAGTGTTAACTGTCTTCTAACTAGAAAAAATTCATCTACACATAATTTTAACTAACAAAACTTCCCTTTCATACTAATTGTATTATAGATATTAATAACCCAGTGAACAATGAAAGATGGGACCCATATAGGTCACAGGTGGGCTGACATATAGGCACCCATATGGGCTGCCTACGTGGGACCGGTAACAAAATGACCGTCCAATTCGCGTTGGATCCATGTGGGCAAAAGAAGAGAATGTAACGGGGCTTTACGTAGGCTAAATAAGAGAATGTAAACGGGCTTTATGTGGGCTAAATGGACTTAAAAGTATGCACACACACGCATTTTTTGAAGTATATTTTATTTTGATAAAACTCCCACAACAATAAAAAAAATCAAAAAAATAATTAAATGAGAAAGTCAGGTTATAAATACTAAAAATAAAATGTTATAGTATAAAAAATTTCATTTATGCATAATTATCATTTTCATCTTCTTCATCTGATGCCTCATCTGAAAAATTTCCTTCATTTGTTTTTACAGATGAATTTGATTTGTTCAACCGAGATGCCTTTTTACCATTTCTGTCTCGAGCACCTGTCAACCATTTTGCCACTGCTAACTCCACATTTCTTTTCATGACCTCTCAAATTGAAGCATTTTTTGACTGATCCTGTTATATGAATAAAAAAATTATTTTACAAAAATTATTAACATAAATTTATTCCGAAAAGATGTAAGGCTGAGTTGGCCAGGAGTCAGTTATCCCAGATGAACCTGCAGTAGCTACAATAAACATGGAGTACTCCATATGTTTATTGTAACTACTGCAGGTTCATGTTCTCCAAAGCTGAGTCCCTTGGTAGACTTTACCAAGGGATTCAGCCTTGGAGATATGTGGGGATTACAACGGCTGGAACCGGGCAAGACAAAAAAATAACTTTAATAAAAATCTTATAAATAGTGTATGCGGTTATATGCATCACTCGCACATAAACATTATCTATTTTATTTTCATTTACTGATATGTTTAATTTTTTCTTTTAGGACATAGTACACGTAAATGTGTATGTGTGTATATGTATGTATGTTTGTTGGTTTGTTTGTATGTAAATATATGTTTGTATTATTATTATCGAAAATTTATAAAGCGGTTGAATAAACACAAATTTCTCAAAAGCACTATCCATAATAGTGATATTAAAATAATAAAATAAATATATGTTCTAATCATTTCAAAATAGAAGATATTATTTGTAACAAAAAATGTGTTTTCAGGTTCTTTTTAAAGTCACTAATCTTCAATCCATATATATATATTATAAGAAAATTTAAATAGCGCATTTTGCCTTTTATAGAGCTACCCATAGGCACTATCAGACATAACCAAAAAATTTGTCAGTTTAAGTGACCATTTAGAATAATAACAAATAATAAGTAACAAAAAATAAAATATAATCACAATGACAACATAAAACACATATATACATATTTACATACATAAAAATAAATAAATAACTGAATAAAATAGATAATAAATAAATATAAATGTGGATAAATTACACAGAAAGTACATAATCAATCAAACATAAATATTCTGGAATAAATAAATAAAACATAGAAAATATACTCGATCAAAAAACATAATTATTGCGAAAAGTATGAAAATAAAGTAAAGATATCATTTATAGCAATAATAAATAATGTCACATAACACAATTCTATATAGGTTCTTTATCGGTAGACTTTTCACATTAAAACTTTTGTACATTTCATACCTGTCATATCTTTTTGAGGATTCTAAATTCGGAAATTCTTTTCTAGGATAGAAAACCCAGGGACGAATGTCTATGCCTTTTGGCCAAAAACTGGAGTAATTAATTTTTTCAGATAGGTTATTGCCAACAATTAGTTTATAAGAGACAAATAAAGTTTCTGGAGCGAGCTGGTTGTTTCGATTTTAAAAGATACAGACCTTGTAGATCCACATTCCCTATGGCCAAATATTCTTTTACAATATTAACCGAAACATTATTTTTAATATTTGTTAAGAAAAAGCTGTCTCCTTTTTCTTAAAATCTGGCTTTGCAGGTAATATTTCATCATTTTCTACGGTGCCTACATTAAAATCTGGTTTTTGAGCAGTTATGACAGAATACAAAGGAGGTGAGTTTTCAACCCTGTTCACTAGTCCATCTTCTTTTCTCCTTTTGTATGAAATATTCTTCCAATCATCTTGTGCAACATTGTCTACGCTTGGAATATCAAGTAATGATCTTTTTAAAGGGGCGTCATCATTAAATGAACAGGTACCCCTGAAACAAACTTTAGCACTCGAATTACAGATTTTATTTTTAATAAATTAACGTTGTTTTTTTTTGTTTTAGTCAACTCTACTAGCAAATTTTTAATATGTTTGTTTAAACTGTATATTAAAGAATAAATTTCTTTCAGGTTATCGTTTTTGACAACTTTCTGGTTGGTAGCATCATTGTCTGGTGAATCTGACGAAAAATTGAAGTTAGCAGCAACACAAGCTGGCAGCTTAGGAAAAAATTTTTTTTCCTGGACCATCTCCACGTATTGTAAAAGGTCCTCAGCGTCTGACTGCAACTTTGGGATTTTTCTCTTCCTTTTATCGCCTAATTCGAGGACACCCACTTTGGTCATGTCTTCTACGAGCAGTTCCTTGGCTTTCAAAATAAGCGACTCAGAAAAGAAACCGGTAAAACTTAACATTAGTGCCTCAATGCAATCAAAATTGTAAGTAAAAAGTAAAAGTATGAGTAGGTTAAGTAGGTTAAGATAAGTAAAAGCGAGAGTAGGTTAAAGCGTAAATATGTCTAAAATAATTGTTAAAAACAAGAAATTGAAACATCTTTTTAACTTTTATCAATTATTTAATAACTTTATACGGTTAAAATCGTAATTTTGGTACGCTTTCAAAAAGAAAGTTTTTGCATTGCAGGCACTAAAGTAAACTCACATACTTGCGTACGGTTATGTTCGGTTGGCATTAAAATAAACTTCCATGCATTTATTTGCTCGTATTTTAACATATAAAACTTAACAGTCATCAATTATTTAATAACTTTGTAGAGTTAAAATCGTAATTTCAGTATGTTTATAAAGAGAAAGTTCATACATTGTAAGTGTAGGGATCAAACATTCATTTATTAACTATCTTATGTATTAATTATTATTAAAGATTATTGCAATTTTCAATGTTACCTATTCTATGCTAATTTTTATGTTATTGCTTCTCTTTCGATTTCTTTCCCTTTTTTTCCCGGGAACTTGTAAACGAAACGGTTCGAGATTCACGTTAAAGAAAAGTTAATATTTTATTACACCTGAATTGTGTTTGTTTTATTTATTTTAACTCACAACAAGGTGTCTTGTTAGTAGCAGAAGTTCGTACTTACAAATTGGTGACCCCGACGTGATCTGAACGAAAATCCGACGTGATTTGAACGAAAAGCCGACGTGATCTGAACGAGAACCCGACGTGATCTGAACGAAAATCTGACGTGATTTGAACGAAAAGCCGACTTGATTTGAACGAAAATCCCACGTGATTTTGAACGAAAATCCCACGTGGTTTTGAACGAAAATCCGACGTAAGAAGAAACGAAGATCCACGTGGTTAGATCAAAACGAAAACAAAATGTTCCAACCAAATAATCGATAAATTCAAGCCAAACAAATATTGTTCATATGATGGTCTTAATATGTTTATGATAAAGCTATTTGTTAAGGAAATTGTTTTCCCTTTTGTGCACATCTGCAACTTATCCTTGCAGAGCCGGAGGTTTCCAGATGCGTTCAAAATGGCGAAGGTTTTGCCTATTTTTAAGAAAGGTAACAGAGAGGATCCTGGCAACTATATTTCTTTGCTTTCCCCTTTGTCAAAGGTACTTGAAAAATTAGTTACCAACAAAATGAAATCATTTATAGATAAATATAAATTATTGTCTAATAACCAATATGGATTTAGACCAAAGCACTCAACGGAGTTAGCTATTTTAGAACTATATCATAGAATTATTAATAAATTAAATGATAAACATCCTACACTTGGGATTTTTATAGACCTTACGAAAGCTTTTGATATTATTGATCACAATTTACTTTTACACAAATTCGAACTCTATCGATTTCGTGGTAAAATCTTTTCTTGGCTCACTAGTTACCCGTCTAACAGAAAACAATTTGTGTCGATAGATTGTAAGAGTTCAATTTTGGGCCCTCTTCTTTTCACAATTTTCATCAACGATTTCCCTAATGTGACTACACTATTTAAATGTATTATGTTCGCTGACGACACTGATATTTTCTACAGTTCAAAATCACTAATTGATGATTTATCGCTAATTAATATCGATCTCAGAAAAATTGAGACAAGCTAATCATCAACACTGATAAATCATGCTATACAATTTTTGGTCCTACAATACTTACTAATAATATTCAAGACTTTTCCCTTAAGTTAAATTGTTAAATAATAATATTCTTAGAAAATGTAGCACAATTAAATTTTTAGGTGTATATATCAAAAGTAATCTGTCATGGTCGTTACATATTTTGGAAGTTAAAAAAAAGTTCACAGTTTTTTATGTATTTTAAATAAATTGAAACATAAATTTAATTTTGTTAGCAAAATTAATCTATACTATAGTTTTATTTTTCCTCATCTATTTATTGTAATATAATCTGGGGAAATGGTCCTGAATATTTACAAAAGCTCTTATTTGTTTGTCAAAAACGCTTTATTAGGATTATATTTAATTTAAAACAAACCGATCATACCAAAGAACTTCTTGCTAAGACTAAAATTCTATCAATTTATCAAATTAATTTCTATTTTCAAACATTATTTACTTTAAAATTCTTAAGAAATCTTTTACCTCCATATTATTCAGAATTCTTCCATTATTCAAATCCATATAAATCAATTATTACAAGGCAAAATGATATTTTCTATATAAAAACATCTAGATTAAATTTGGGCAACAATTGTATTAAATTTGGGCAACAATTGTATATCTCATACAGCCCCTAAATTATGGAACAGTGTGATTTCCTTCAAAATTAAAAACATCGATAATCTGGCATCATTAAAAAAAAAAAAATCTCAAAATTTTTGCTTGTACTTATAAGCCTCCATGAATTCTTATGCTAACGGACTATCCTAACTCGCGTTTTTCGTTACTCTTACTGTTTACGTTTTGTATGCATATTTTTCATCAATTTGCCATCTACGTTCATATCTTAGAAAAATGCTGTTTATATTTTTGTAACTGTGCAGATGGTGTTTATATGTGAGAGAAAATGTGTTTGTATACTTCTGCAAAAGTTTGATCATTTTTGTTTTCTCATTGAATCATTGTAGAACATTTTTAGTTAATAAACTATTACGAGTTTTTTTCTGTTTATTTTGTATCTTTGAAGAAAATAAACAATATATATTTATATATGTATGTAATGTATGTATGTGGTTAAGTAAGTAAGTATGTGCGTATGTATGTATATATTTTTCATTACTCTGACTTTTACGTTATGTATACATATATATTTTTTTATAAATTGTCATCTACTATCATAACTTAGAATAATGTTTTATATATATATATAATAGAGTTCTGAAAAAGAGAAACGATTTTATTAATAAAAAATAATAAATTAATTAAATCAATTTAGCCTTAATTAAGTAAATGTCGTACCTGAAAAAGAGAAATAACAATTAAAGCTATTATATATAATAACCAATATTAACTAAGAGCTAGAAGAAATATTCAAAATATCCAAATAATTTCAACTCAAACAAAAATTTAAATTTAATCTGTCAAACGTTTCACAATTTACACAATAACGTTGTACACCATAACTCAATTCATAATGAAGTGGAAATCCTTCATTACATATATTTATATAATATATATATATATATTATATATATATGTGTGTGTGTGTGTGTGTGTGTAACTATGCAATGTGTCTTGCAAAAGTTCAAAAGTTTGGTCATTTTAGTTTTCTCGTCGAAATATTTTAGACAATTTTTAGTTAAGGCACTATTACAAGTATCTTTCTGTTTACTTTTTGTGTCTTTAATAAATAAATAAAGAAATAAATAAATATATATATATATATATATATATATATATATTATTGGTAAACCATTACTCGCCATGGGTCATATATATATATATATATATATATATATATATATATATATATATATATATATATATATATTCATACATCGGTTAAAATAAATTTTTGCTAAAAATCTTGATCCATAGAACCAAAAACATCAATAAAAAATTAATTTTAAAAAACATTTAGCTTTTTATCTATGTTTAGAATATCGTCTAGTTTTTGATTATCGTCATAGCTTTCGTAGTTGAGTTATTACCAAATAAGAATCTCGCTTTAAAAAACTAGCAGCATAAGTTGGTAATGTTTGACTGCTAACGTTGCTGGTGTGTTTCAGTTGCGTTGGGCTTTTCTTATACTAATTTCCAAAATTACAAGTTATCCCCTCACTCTGCTCTGCAATGGATATTCTGATAATCAATCACAATAATTCATTCATATTAATTTGTCTTTACGTTTTATATTATTATTGTTATAAACGTGATATGTAAATTCATGAGAATATATACCAAATGTATGACTGCTCATAATTACTGTAATAACAATAGCTGACAATCATACATTTGAGTACCTTTTTTTGAATATATAATCATCTGAAGCTGAACCAAATTTCATAAACTTTCATGTTGTCTCTTGAATTTGCATTGTATATATAAAAAATGGGAAAATGTCTGCTTTCAATTTTAATAATTTCTAGTGATTGATAAAAGCCAGAGTAAATTCATGATTAATCTGCTTATATATTGTATGCCATGGATATGAAATGGACTGTTCTTACCAAACTGTGTTAATTCTACATTTAATCAGTGATAAAATAAGTAATATTTAAATAAATTTTTTAAAAATGTGTTTTACATTTACCGATTAAAATAAGGATAGTTTTATATTTAAGTGCAAATCAATAACGTATGTCAATGGCAACTAATTTGACAACAAAGAGACACAAATGTTTAAAAATATTTTATTAAAAAATGTAAATAAAATGAAATGATATTTTTTTTCCATAGAAATTTCAAATTGATATAACATTATCTCAAAAAAAGTTATATTTTGTATTAAAAAATGAATTAGATAAAAAAATGAATTATTAAAACTGACAAATAATGTAAGGAAATGGTTAAAACTGTTAAGTTTACATTCTGGAATGAAAAAAGTTGATATAATGATGACTTAAAACTAGTTACTATATTGCTTCGGTAAAATTATGATGTAGATTAATGATCAGATATTTACAAATGCAGATGAAAATGCAATAATAAACTCTTGCAAAAAAAATACTGAATAGTGATTTAAAAAATGCATGTTTAAATTGAAATCAAAAATTTGATAACATTAAATGATTGGATATAAAGGCATACATGTTAGGTAAAAAAGGTCTTGAAAATAATTTTGTTAATTGATGAATATATAAAAAGTTGTTTTAGTCAATGTCTAGTGATTAGCTTTCCTTCTTTCCTTTCCAAACTTCTCGGCGTCAAAGCATCAACACCAGTCTGTTACATTTCAAGTATATA